TTACCACGTAACAAGCTGCCTGGTGGACGGCTTGGGGTTGGGATGCCTCCGAGGAGGAGCCTGGCCCCTTTCCCCAGAGGATGCCAGGGCGCTCGCCTCCTGGACCCGGGTGTCGGGCGGGGCCGGGGCCGCTCTCCGCGGTGCTGAAGGACCGTCCCGTCCTGCTGCTGCAGAGCGGGGCCACGCGGGATGAGCGGAGAGGTTCCCTGTCGGCTTTCCAGGGATCCGTAACATTACAACATAAAAGAACCCATGGTCTGGAGAGACCTGCTGACTGCGAACAGGCAATGATACACTGGCAAAATCAAATTAGAATTCAGGGGATCCTTGGGATGAACTGTCCCTGAGCTGGAGTTCTCACCCATCCCTACTTTTTTGTGAAAAGTAATTCCAGGACTTTCTCATAAGCTCCACAAGCCACTGCTTCTTCAATCAGTACAACTCTCTGGAGTTACAATGGAGTCTGAAAGTACCAGCTGTTGGCAGGATCTGCCCAAACTTCTAATTATCAACCCCTATTTTCTGTTTCTTATGAATGTTTTGTCAAACATTAACCACATGGTCTCAGATCTTGCAGGCTAGGTGTTTGCTTAGCTGAAGTTTTACATTTATTAATTAATTTATATCTTTTGGGAAAATATAATTTAAAACAATGTCATATTATATGTTTCTCTGAGCAGAACTAGCATGCCGTGCTCTGGATCACAGCGCTGGAATTTGATGAGGACTGAGCTTTACTCAGGATATCTTTAGCCTATACCTCTGCTTCCAAGGAGAGATCACAGCTATCTAAGCAATTCTGACAGATGTTTGTCTAATCCATCCTTAGAAACCTCCAGTGAAGTAATCTTCCTCTCTCCGGGCAAATCTATTGCAGTACTTACTCCTCTAACATTCTTACCAGTGTCCAGAGTAAATCTCTTTTTGTTGCAGTTTAAGTCCATAACTTCTCTTTGTATCTGTCAGTGACATGGAAAAAATTTACTCCTTCTTTTTTTCACCTGTTAGTAAACTGCTACCATGTCTCTCCTCAATCTTTTTTCCCCCCACTACACAATTCCTGTTCTTTTGGTCTTCCATCTCATCTTCACAGATGTCTAATCATTTGTTCCCCACTCTGAGGACTTGGAGTCCTGAGTAAATTTACACATTTCTTAGATTGCCCCATATGGAATCAGGCCACAAAAGGAGGCCTTTCTGGGATAGATTATAATGGGAAGAGTAATTCACATGTCTGCCAAAAGACACTGCTGTTCACAATACTGGTGTGGTGGCTGGTTTTTTTTTTTTCCCTGAAAAACTTGACGTAGTTGACTCATGGATGTGATTCATCATCACTCCAAGATATTTTACTGCAAATCTGATGCTTTCTAAATTGTGTTTGCACAGCCAATTATTCTTGACAGTGTGGTGCCTGGTCTTCTCTCTTTTGGTTTGATATGAGGTGGGGCAGTATGTACTTTTCTTACGGGTTGGGAAAGCAAGCTAAGAATGGCTTCTTTCTCCTTTCCACACACAGAAAAAAATAGTTTTTTTTCTCATTGTGGTTAGTGTTAGTGTGGTGAAAATCTGATAACTTCTGTCAGGCATCTCTGTATTTCTTATAGACAAGTCTTTGGTTACAAACATTTTAAATAGCATTCTCATCTTCTACACTGCTCGACCTGGATGTGCTCAGGAGTAGAGCAGAGTGAAAGAGATTCATCTGTATGGCCAGTGCCTCCTTACTTACTGAAGCTGCAGTGAGTCAGGGTCTGGTGAAGAAATGCTCATTACATAGTTATTGAAATGGCAGTTCCAAAGAGATGTTGGATGAGTTACTTTTCCCCAGTAGTAATTCACTAATTTTTAGGGTTGTGCTTTCCCCTGCTTTGTCTCAAGGTGTGGCTCTGAGTCACAGATGTCATCGCTGAATATAATGGGAACTGTGGTGCTTGCATAGAGTGAGTTAAATGCACTGAAACATAAAGGGTTTCCAAAATGATCAGATGCCTTTGGATCTTAATTCCTGTGTGCCTCAGTTTCTTGTCTCTAGAATGGAAATAACAAATCCAATTTCTGGAAGATAAAGCAGGTTCAACTAAGAAAGGCACTACCACTCCTGTGATGAACACCAGAAAAAAAGCCACAGGAGAAAGAAATGTACAGTTTAGTCTTCAGAAAAAGGTTTGTGCAGTGCATAGCACCTAATTGAACAAAGAGAAAATAAAATAAGGGCACTTATTAAGGAAACACCCTAGATGAAGGAGCAATTTCCTTGGAAATACAGTTGAGATTGTGTAATTAAAGCTGATTACATAATGTAATATGTGTTTAGGGGCTCTAACACTACAAGGCAGTTTTAATTCTGGCATTGCATCCTTTTGATTCCTAGGCTTTGCACTTCAGGCAGGATCTGTTAATATTTTAGGCAGTGATGTGTGTGTATGTGTGTGTGTGCATAGTGGAGGAGACACTGCATTTAGTTGCCAGAAAAACTAATTTGGACTCCACTGGAGCTGTGAAATGCTGCTTACCCTCTTGTGTTATGGGAATATCTGGGGAATGGGGGGAAAAAGTCTCAAGAAGCCCTATGTGGTTTATTATTTTTCAAACTTTTACAGAAGAAAAGGTGAATTGAAATGTAGCCTTTCAATAACAACAACAAAAAAAAGGAGTGTTTTAATGCTCTTGTCATTCCCCTCCCTTCCCCTTCTTCCAGTTCTGAAGCAAATTTAGAGCTGGCTGGATACAATTACAAGGTGCAAATGACCCATTGCCAGCAAAAAAATTCCAATTTTCCCTTCTTCTCAGAAATCAGCCTCACTGTGGGGTCCTGCTGGTAGCTGTGAGGATGCATCACAAGCTTGGTGGAGACTGTTTCTCACCCATGGTAGGAAATGTCTTTTTTAAAATACAAGCTAAAGGAATATATTTTTATCATGAGCCCTTTGTTCGCTAGGGGCTAATGAGTTTGAGCTGGTGGGATCCTCTGTAAAATGTTGATGAATGCTGAAGACAAGTGGTCTGGTAGGGCTATCTTAGCACTGGGAGAGAGAGTGAGAACAGAGCAAAGCAAAGAGGAGAGGCAAGGAGAAAGAGGTTGGGGACAAACTGAGAAAAGATGAGAAAAGGGAGCAGATAAACAGCTGACATGTGATTCAGGTCCCTAAGTACAGTATTGGCTAATCTAAATGCTCACCATAGGCACAAAAATCTGCGATCAAGGTCCTCCTTGTTTTCAGCAGGAAAAGAAAACACAGGACAAGACCAACTCTGGACTTTAGGAGCCCCAGAACAGGAGAGGGGTGGCATGTATTAATTGTGTTGATCTACGTGACTCCCTGATGAACAGAGATCAAAAAACTTCAAAGAAAAGCAGAAATTACCTTGTTGCCTTCATGGAAATATTCCCACTCTCCCAACTCTACTCATCATCAAGTCTGGACATGTATTACACCGCACAGTTGGTTGCGCAGGAGGAAGCTATCTCATTCCTGAGAGGTCACGTCTCCCCACATCTGTATGTTCCAAGAGCTTGCTCTCTTCCTTGCACTGCCCTGAAACAGGTGATCTTAACCACAAAGTAGCCAAGGCAGTTCCCCTAATGCATGAGCATGGAGAGATTTTTCTTTGAAAAGTCCCTGAACGTTTCACCTCTACTCAGAGAATTCCTGGTGATTCTATATTCCATATGAAAGCTGATATCAGCCTTAAGTGTCTTTTAAAAGCCATGGAAACTTTTTTCTTGATTCTGCCAGTTGTTTGGTCTGCTGTGCTGAAGGGTGACTACACAACCTGAAGTTGGATCCTGTGTTTGAATAAGAAAGTCTTTATTCCAGGAGAAGTAATATTTATGTGTTCTTCCAGGAAAACCAATACCTCTATCTGGTAATGGGAACTGGTGGTGAAGGTGGCCATGTTGTTTTGGCACCTACAATGAAGAGGTGAGGCTGGGCTGTGTATTTTGTGTCTCAGAAAGCGCAGATTTTTTCAGCTGGTGACCACAGACGTGTCCGGGGAACATGATTCCCAGGACAACCTGGAGAGAAAGCAAGCTTTTAAACATCTCTTACAGAGATGACTTTTTGTGTCTACAAATATGGCCCCTTCCAGCTTTCCATTTTGATCCTAGAGCTGCTAAGTGGCACGTGTCCACCAGAGGGCATGTGGGCCATTTTCTCCTCCTGAGCACAAAAAAAGGTGGAGAACGGTTTCCAAAGCAAGTGCCCTTCCAAAATGGGATCCTGTACTGGCTGCCTTGGCTGTTGTCATTGCTGTTGAGGAATGGTACTCAGACAAGTGAGCTGGCAGCAGTAGGGCTGATGTGACTGACTCTGAGCCACTACTGCAGTATGCAGAGCTGTTTTGGTGTGACGTGGGGTTCTGCCTGTATGAAGGGTTAAATGTAAGTCTTTATGGTGCCGTGACTTTATGATTCCCTAGACTTGCATTTCAGACCCCTGTATATGCACATGTATATATACATCCACGAGAGAGAGAGATACACACATGTGCACACGTACACACCCACGCTTGCTCACAGAAGTATCTACATCCACACAGGCCCACTCTATAGCTTGCAAAGTAAATTAGTCTTAAATGACTCTTTGGAAACAAAATAAATCAAATAGCATAATAGTACCATCTTTTTATCTCATTTGTTCCCATACAATTAGTAGTTTTACTGCCATGTTGTGACAGGTGACTGTGTTTGACCTTTGCCGCTTGGGTGGTTGGCTGGTGCTCAAACTAATGAAGACCCTTAATGGATTGGCTTTTGTGAGGCTGTGAGCGGTGGGGTTAAAGAGAAAATGGTGCCTTAGACAGAGTCCAGAGAAGATCCTTCAATTAAACCTGAAGTCTATTAGCAAAGAAATATTGAGGAGGTTGAGAGTTAGCAATGATTTAACCAGGAAGTCTTCCTTGTGAGTCGTTTAAAAAAAAGAAAAAAAATCTCCCTGGTTATTTATTGTTGAGTGTGTGGTTGGACTCTCATCCTCTTGGGTGAGAGAGTGGGAGCAGAGCCATTGACTTGGAGAGGCTGGGGCTATTGGGCCCGACACCCAAGTTTGTTAGCCCCTTGCCTCCTACACAGCCGAGCTTACTTTGGACAAAAGAGTGAGGAAAAATAAAGCAATGGCAGGAACAAATGAAGAGTGATGCTGGGGAAGATAAAACCAGATCTCTGAGGTAAATAAGACTTTTTGGAACTTAATTGTTTTTCATGATGTAAATAAATTACCGTGAAAGAAAGGGAGAACCGGCAGCTTCTGGGCAATGAGTCAGAGGGCAGAGCTGAGCTGTAGAGCGTGAGTAATAAGCAGGAGTGGAGGGAGGCGGATGAGGAGGCTGGTGCAGGACAGGCAGGGTCTGTCCAGAGCAGCACAAATGGACACAACAAGGAATGTTAGGTGTGAGGGGCAAGGGTGGCTGACTTGTGAGAGCACTAGGAGGGCCAGGCCTGATTGCAGCAAAGGGCCAGGGGTCCATTCTCCTGCTGTGTTAGACACTTCAACAAAAATCCTGCATGGCAGATACAACAAGCCTGCTGCTCCACAGGATCCCCTCCTGCCCCCAGTGGCTAATTAGCTAGTTCCTGTCCCTTTCAGTGTCAAAGGGGCACTGAGCATTTCCCATTCCTTCCAGGAAGGCTTCCTTCCTTTTGTTTTCAAGACTTGGTTAACTTTCAGCCTGAGCATCATCTTGCAGCAGTGTTCATGGACTTAAGCAGAGCTGAGGCTGCCTCTGGCCTACACTGGTCCTTTGGGTGATACACTGTCCCACAGTTGAGAGGTGGGAGATGAGAAGGATCTGATATGGGACAGATTGAAGCTGATTGTTCTGAGTGGAGAGACCTGTCTTCTTCCCAACATCTAGTTGCTGTTGGGGTGTCCTAGAGATTGTTGGCATAGCTGAGACTTTCGTCGCCACACACTTCCCCTGCCTCCACACACTGTGTAGTAAACCTCCAAGAATTCAGTGTGAGCCAGGCAAAGGTTGAGATGGGACAGGAGGGAATAGTGTCCTGGGTCCTGACAGATGGGACAACCCATAGTGTCCTGGGTCCTCACATGCCTCCATCAGACTGCCCCATGCTGTGAGCTGGTTTGGCATATTGGTGCCTACATCCTTCTTTTGAGCCACGATACCTCAATGATCAGGAAACTGGACTCTCTTTAAACCCTCTGGTTTCTCCCAAGAGACATGACGGCAACAAAATGGGAGGGAACTAGGCCCAAACTCCTTACACAGATGCAACTGGATTTGCCAGGTCTGCAGCCTATTCTGGCTACTGGGAAAGGAGTTGTTTCGCTCCACTTCAGCTGAATCATCATGCAGCTTTGAAACACCTCAAGCGTAGTGCCCAGCTGTTCCTCTTCCTGGGACATTTCACCTCAACACCATCAGACAGGACTCCAAAGCTGAACACCCTGCTCCAAAGGTCCTCAAGCATCATGGCAGGTCCTCAGCGCTATACTCAAGAATTGCCTGAGTCTTCAAGTCTTCATTTCTTCTTCATCTATCTATCTATCTATCTATCTATCTATCTATCTATCTATCTATCTGTCTGTCTGTCTGTCTGTCTATCTATCTATCTATCTTTCACTCTTTCCTCATGGAGTAACTCCTTCCCTTCACTTCCACAGTCCTTCTTCCTTTCTTTTTCTTTTCTCTCACTCTTAGGCACGTGGCTTCCCCCTCCTACCTCCCCCTACTTTGGGGATAATTTAACATGTTACACACTAACTTTCCAGTAATGGCACTCCGGCTTTTTGAAATTCTGCTTCCCTGTTTTATGGCTGGGCCTCTAATGGTTATCTCGCAGCCCTGCCTCTGGCAATCATGTAAGGAATAAATAGAAGCTGACACAGTAATTTACTTAAATCTTCTCCACACTTTTGCAGCATTTTCCTCCAGAGGATACCCCCGAAACAACAATTATTTGAAATGTCATGCGTTCCTGCCCCTAGGCTACCGACAAATGAACATTAAATCTATTAACAACAAAAAAAATTAAATGTTTACTTTTCTGCGAAGGTAAAGGAGAAGCTGGAGAGAGGGAGGGATGTCTCCAATAAATTTCTTCTCAATAATAAAGAGGTGTAGTTAATGTTCTCTCTAAGCAGAGTCAGCTTGCAGCCCACATCCTATGAGGACAGAGATGTGATGCCACAGAACTACCATGCAGCCTTTGCCAGGGCAGCTCCAATAGCCTCATTTTTCCAAGCCAGGGAGCTCAGTTTTAAGTTGGTATTTTTGCAGATTAAGTAAGATACGCAGTGGGCTAGAAGCCGTGAACACGGTATTCTCAGTCCTCAACCCATCTGGAGCAGTGGGAGAAGAAGCATTACCCCCTGGGCAAAAGGAGGTTAAGAATATAGCTCATCTGCTTCATAGAAAGGAAAACTGAGCATTTTTGAACTCTGCCCCTATACCCTGCAGAAGGTCTAAGCTGGAGGTAAGGCTCAGTTCCTCTTCTTTTCTGTCCCGTGCTCCCACCCCTTTGCTCAGCTTTCCTGAAAACAGGTAAGCATAGGTATGGGAGGGTGGGACCACACGAAGGTGGACCCAGCCCTGCACATGAGACCTGGTGGCAGATGGTGTGAATATGGAGAGTCACTTGCATCCACTTGCTATGGATGAAAGTTCCCATGGGGATCTGGGCAAAACAGGCTTAGGAACCAGGCCTAAAGCATGGGAAATCATTTTCCATTCTGCAGATGGGGAAGTCCAGGTCCGGAGTAGGTTAGATGCTTACCAAAATACAGTAGTAGAAATAGAAAGACATATCCCAGCTTTATTCTGATTGCTTCATACTGTCCCCCTGCTTGAACTTTTCAGTTTACAGCTATTTTGGAAAATGTTCCTTGTCCATTGATTCAGCCTAAGGTTCTCTTGGGAACCACTGTGTTTATACAGCCAGGAACCCATCCCTTTGACTCGGAAATCCTCTCTCCATCTGAGTTTAGGGATTTAAAGGAACCAAAAGGATCACAGGTCTTCTTGTGAATGAACTCATGAAGGAAAATTTCTCATCTGATGTTGAATGCTGCAGACCCCACAGAAAAAATTGCTTCTCTGTTCTTTTTCCCTTCTTTTCAGCAAAAGAAGCTTGGGTATAGGTCTCAGAACCTTGGAGAGAGTGGCACCTCTGACATGCTGTATGAACCAATTGTTATATGGAGTGTGAACAGAAACCTGTTATCCCCCTTTTGAAGAGGACACATGAATATCTGACCAACCTTATATTCCTTTGTGCAGAATGGCCAGGCACTTAAAACTTTGTAGTCACCATGGTTCACTGTATCACCAGGTAAGTATGTCAGGTTGTGGTTTTTTTCTCTGTAGACTGGGATCCCACTTTTTGGCACTGGTTCTGATTCACAGAGCCAGATTACAGAGGAGATATCCACTAGATCTGCTGCTTTCAAGTCCCAGTGGAGCTTACTGTCCTAATTCTAATCCATTTCTTCACTGCTGTCCCAGTCCATGTACTAAGGTGGTTCATGATATGTGGATGCTCAGTCAGATATCTGTGATGCTAGACTGCTGTGGCACTGAGATACCTTTGTATCAGTGGGAGATAGTGCTCATGTGATGATGTGTATTTGCGAGAAGATCCTCCAAGGTAGCTCCCACAGTCCTGTGACACAGGCCTATGCTCTCACAGGTAGTTTATACAGTCTGATCATTCTGAGTCCCATGGATCCCCTTGACATTTTGTTGCTACCTGCTATGATTCTTTAAGGAATAAGAAGAAAGATCATCTTCCAAGTGTGTGATATGTGTGTGTCTGGAAGGAGTGAGTTGTTTCTCTACTAATAATCCTTTAACATCCCTCTGTGTTTCAGAAGAGGAAACTAGCTTATCCAAGGAATCAGAGTTTAGCTCTAGAAGAACAATTGCTTTGGGCTCTTCTCAGGCCTGGTGCAAATACCTTGCACTGCCACGACTGCATAGAGAGTGTGTCCTTTGTCATCCAGAGAGAAGGGGCTTTGTGGGTGTTTCCCATTTAGTTTCTGAAACAATCTCTGCCCTTGATAGAAAAGGGTTGTCTTCTTTCCCTGATCAGGCTGAGTGCCTGATGTTTAATGATACATAAAGAGCAAGGTAGATGTTATATCTATGATCAGTCAGCTCCACAACATACATACTCTGTACAGGAAATCACACAGCTTGTGATGTACAAAGCACAGGCTTCTGAATGGATCTTAACACAGACCTTAGAGTGTACTGTAGATTCTGCAGTATACACTGCATTCTGAATTCTGTCTCAGTATTGCAATGGATTGATTTAAATAGTTCCACTGCCAGCCAAAAATTCTAAGCACCATAGCACATTTATGAGTTATCCTAACACACAGAAACACCAATGGTCTAATATATTGGGATGAACTCTTAGATAGCATATAGTATCAATACAAATCAGTGTCTGCCATTATAAACTGCAGGGCCTCAAATACATGTTATCCTATTTCTAAAAAAAAAAAAAAAAAGCTGGAACTTGGGAAGAGAATTCATCAGACTACTTTGCATTATTAAACTTCCTCCTGTAATGTCTCCACTTTGATCTCTTCTCTGGCCAGATTCAGATCCCAGTTCCTGATTTCCACCAAGGAAAGTATATAGAGAAGCTGGGTGCCTGCACTTTTTTTAAAGCTTTGTAGCGTGTTCTTGTGCTCTCAATTCCGGATAATGCTGGATCCCTTTTATCCAGCCCCTCCTCTTGCCCTTTCAAGTGCAAAGAAGACTCCTGTGCCCCCCCATCAAAGTTAAAGGGAGGCTTTAGAGAGGAAGGCTCAGCACGCTGGGGCTCTTGAGCCTGTGTTTAATCTCTTTTCCCGTTCCTCTGTGCCTCTGTGGCTTCCCTGCCAGTTTCTTTGTTGCCAAGTTTCTCATTTCCTTTTATTTGTGTGTGCGGGAGGTTGCCAGGCTCACTGGAATGCAACTGAAGTCATCTTGAGGGGACGCGCCTCGGCCCCCGCCCCGGGTGATACATGACCTGCCTCAGCCTGCTCGCCCACCCCGGGCAGGCTGGAGTGGGCTTTCCTGGCTTCAGGCAGCAGGAGAGCCAGGGAGGGCAGTGGGACAGCAGAGATACCCACCGGCCGCTGCAGCTGGCTCGTGCAGGGCTGGTGTGTCGGATGTCATGCAGGGTGTGAGGAGGATGGAGATCAGGGGAAAAGGGATTGAGAGACAGCACCTTGACCTCTGGGCTGCTGTCTTGCTTGGAGAACGAGAGCAGAGACATGTGCAGACTTTGGCAGGGTCAGGGGGGCCTGGTCTGTCTCAGTTTCTGCCTAACCTCAGGTGACCTCAGTGCAGTGCCCCAACTCCTGCCCACAGCTGCCCTGTTCCACTGAGTGATGCTGGGCTGAAGGTGTGGCCTTTAGCTGTATGCTGGGATATGCTCTCAGGATTAATATGGGCTTCATTAGGGTCATGAAGGAGAGAACTTGAATCAGACTTCGGGGCCGGACATAGCTCTGAGGAATTCATTGGTCTTAACAAGTGACAATAGAGACTGTTTGTGTTCATGCTGCTTGCCATCCCTCCATCACGAAGGTACCTTACTAGAAGACCTATATGTCAAGGAACATGGGAAGGCAATGTCCTGGGTGGAATGACATTAAGCTTGTCCATGGGCCCTCAGCCTCTGACTGTGTAATGTTGGAGGAATGGCTATCAGTGGATCAGGTACTGTTGTACCCACTATGGGTCTTGTTAATCCAGATGCCAGTGTATGCACTGACTTCTAGGCTTGACCTTGGTTCTGCCTTGTGGTCTGTGACATACTGAAACTAGGAGTTGCTCACTAGAGGAGTTCCCCAATGTAAAGGAGAGCAAAGGTGTGGGATGATTTTGCTTAGGATGGGCCTGGAGTGTCTGGAACTGGCAGTTTGCTGTGTAGCAATCTGCAGCAGTCCTGTTTGGGGCTGTTCCATGGTGCAGTGCTGAGAACATTTAAGTTTTGGTATTAGTTTCTGCTCATGGGCACTGAGAGCAACAGTGATGATTAAGAGCCTTGCTCAAAAGCCTCAAAAAATTCCCCTGTGGCTGTGAGTGGTTCTTGCTGTACTGCACAGACCAGAGCTGTTAGGCTCCTGGACCCTCTGGCTAACAGTCAGCATGTCACTGCCCGGGTATCTGCCAAATCTCCCTGCTGCTTTGTTCAAGGAGCATTTGTACTGCCATTGTCTCTGTTCCCTTTGGACAGGCCCATGGGGTTGTGCAACTTTGAGTTTGTGCAGCGTCTACCTGGATGTAATTGTTTTGGCTTTGCACCTAGAACAGTCTGTCAGTCCTCAACCCCGAAACTCCTGCAGGAGACCTGGAGATTGCATCACATATCAAGGGGAAGACTGACTGATAAATATATTGCAGTGAGCAGAAAAAAGAATCACTTGTTGTAAATACCCTTCTATGCTTTGTTGTGGTGCTGCTATTTCAACCCAATGGTTTAAGTATCCTTGCAGAGAGGCTTCCACGCTTGAATTTTTTTTTCAAGATAGTTCCTTGCTGTACATCTGCCAGTTCCTGAATTGCTTTTATGGAGGATTCCTCCAAACTTTCCAGTACTTTTAAAAATGAAAAATGTATTTTCTTAACTAGGATATTGTGAAGAAAGCTTCTGATAAAGCCACTGTCTTATTCTTGTGTTAGAAACACTTTTACTCAAGAATATTTCAAGAAGTTTCAGTTTTTGCTATATTCCTTTTCCATTTTGTCTTCTTTTATCAACCTCAGATCTTTTCATTCTTGATTTTCTTCACCAGGATGAGTTGCTATAGGATAGCAGAGCAGAAGGAAAGCACATCATCTAACCCCTCTGATTCTCCCCTGCTGCTGCTTGGCATCCATATATACTGTGTATTGCAAGAGAAAAGCAAGACCTGGAAACAATCTGCTGAGGGTTTCAGATTCTCTCTGTTCCTCTCTTCCAGCCCATTAGGTCAGAAAGAGAATGACTGTCAACAAGTGTTTCATCTGGAACTGTAGTCCTGGGATTTCCCTAGATTTTTACCACAGCTTGAGCTGAAGACTAGTTTCCAACTATCAGCCACTCTTGGCTGAACCTCTATTTTGATTTTTCAGAGCTGATTTCCAACCCCTGCTCCTTTATAATACCTTGTTCGCACTCATTCAGGGTGTGGTTGGATCAGGCACCAACTTGGAAGAGGTTCCCACTTGTGCTCATTACTGTGTCGGGACACAACGTGGCCCTAAACTGCGATGCAATTATTCCTTGAAAAGGGAGGAGGTTTTGCAGGGCATTGGCCTGGACCAACTTCTGATCAATATTTTAGAGATTTCAATAATAAAATGAAAACCAAGCAGAGAGTAGCAAACTGGAAGAAGGTTGCAAATCCTTTGGAGGACAGGGTTGTAACTCAAAATAGCTTGATATGCTAGAGAAATAAACTAAACTTAGGTAATTCAGTAGATGCAAAGGCTCAGTTTGCATCTGATTAAGGAATGAGGGAACTAGTGCATTGTCTGGGGGGAGGGCAGAGCTCAAACTGTGGGAGTCACTAATGTTGCACTCTTGCAGTAAGAAAATGTTAGAGTCTGCATTTTATCAATGCTAAGGTCATTGCTGAGACACAAGAGGTCCCAGCAGCTCTCTGGCATAGTGCAATGGAGTCTTATATAGTGCTGAAGGGTGCCATAGGGCTGAAACCAGGACCTGTGAGGAAAGGTTAAGGAATTGTTTTATGTGAAAATGGACAAGAAGACTATGCGTGTAAAAAGCTCAGTTTCCCAGGGTATAAGTGAATGATATCAAGAAGCAGGTAAACAACCATTTTCTCTGCCTGCCTGCTAACAAGCAGAAAGAAACAAGTATCCCTAGAATGGAGGGAGATGATGTAGTAAAAGCCCTTGCTAACCCATGGAGAATAGAAGCACCAGCAGAGATCACCATGCAGATGCTGGAAGGTGCTTCAGAATATACCTCAGCCAAGGATGGTCTGGATGTATCTGTCTCAACAGGAATGTAACTGGGTCATTGCATTGCCTTTTTTTCCCACTGCTTTTTCTGCATCCTTTTCATCTGCTTGAAAGCTGACAGAGCAGTGGGAACTTCAAAGGAATTTGTAGTTTGAGGTTTTTCCTTTTCCGTCATGGAAAACCTCCAGAATCAATGAAAACAGAGAGCACATGCTATGTATTCCCCCAACAGAAAGCAATGCTAGCAAGCTGTTGGGTACAAAATGCTTTGAAATTTCCTGGTTGGAAGACAACTGATTACCAAAAAACTGTTATACCGTGCAACAGAGATCACAGTTCCTCTTTGGTGCTGGAAAAACTAAGGATTAAACAGGCTCCTCCTAGGGGAAGGATCGTTTGGGACAGGTGTCCCCTGCAGAGCTGCAGTACAGTAAGCACATGATTCTTTCACCAGCCACCAGCTTCTGTGTTCCAGCCCAGGCCATTGGCAGCTCAGAGCTCTCCCCCTCTCCCTGCAACCCTGTAACGTGCATGGCTCGTTAACAGCAGCCTGGCAATTAGAAGAGCCTGCTATGGCAGCAGCAGCTTTTCCAGAGCTGTCCCACATGCAGTGCAGGGCAGAGGCTGTTCGCCCAGGTGAGGTGCTCCCAGCAACTGGCTGAGATGGAGCCTGTGGGAAAGGGCATTGGTCCTCACCAAATGCAACCAGTTGGAGCAAACTTTGCTTCCTTGCAAAGTGCTTCCACCTTGCAGTCCTGCCTGCCCAGATAGTCACCCTGCTCCCTGATGCATATGCAGCCAAGTGCCAGGGAGCAGACAGAGGAAGAGCCATCTGGCTTCTACCAAGCTCATTCCCACGTTAGAGCTGGGGGAGCTGCTGGAACAAAAGATGGCATCACTTGGGAGTGCCTGGACTAGAGAGTTTGTGAGTACTGCAGGAGTCTTAAGCTTGCTTCTTCCACGCTCATTGGCTTCCCAGCAGCAGGTTTCCCAAGCTGCTGCGCTCATGTGTGTTCCCTAGTAGCTGAGCTGTGGTCTTCAGCCACTCTCCCTGTCAGGGGGACTTCTGCTGGACTCATGGAAAACAACACATTTTTCCCCTCCTCAGCCCACGCTGCTGCCCTTGTGGTAGGACCATATGGGCTACTCTCATGGCTAGGACACCCAGGACAGCCTTTGACAAGGCTGACAGAGCCAAATCCCGTGGTGCCAGCTGAGATTTTCCTGGCTCAGGTTCTCCTTCGTTCCATGCTAACTCCACACAGCTGGGCTGTGTGGGGCTAATCACCAGGGAACAGAGGCTGGCAGAGATGAATAGAGGATGTGAAGAGTTCCCTTGGTGCCCTTTTCCCTCACTCTTGTTTCCCTCTCAGCAGGGGGAAGCAGTCTCTGCGTGGTCCTCTGCCGATTGCATCGGGGAAAGTCATTAAAAAGAATTAAAAAGGAAACAGAAAGAGACGGAAGAGGGGGAAAAAAACCCAACTGAACAGCCCCAAACAGTTATAAACTCAAACAAAAGAACAACAGGATCTTCCTGCTCAAAGGTCTGGGCCACCCTCACCTTGACAGCAAAGGACAGCAGCACTCCAGCGATTTACTGGGAGAATGGAGGAAAGCCTTGGCTATATATCTGCTGGAGCTGTGGTGATATGGGTTGTGGGACTGGTTGGGAAGCTGTCATCTGATTGTTCAGATGGGAAAAAATATATATCTACAGAATTAAATTAATTACACAAGGTTGAATCATCCATCTGCTGAAATTGGCAATAGTTCAGTATCTTGGCTTTCGGAGAGGGAATAGTGTGCAAGATACCATCCTGGGGGGCAGTGTCTCTCCTCCATTTTGCTGTGGGGAAGCATCAGCCTCTGTTCACAACTGCTCTAGCTGGGGAGCAAAAGAATGGGATGGACCACCTGGTTCCTCCTGTCCTGTCTCCGGGGAGGATTTGAGCTCCAAGGTTACGCAGTTGTGTCTGGTCTGGAAAGATCTGGTTTATAATCCAAATACAGTACCATAAAGGTTTTCCCAAAATAGTTGCCTACATTTTGAGTCTGTATTGAGATATAGAAGTCTGGGCTTTTTTGGATGCCAGCCACTCATGTGTTCTGAATTATGACTGAACATGGCCAGTCATCTTTAAAAGGTTTGATATTTGAGTTCTGGATGAGTGCTTGCAGCCTGGAGCCAGTAAAACACTATGGAGGGCTGTCCCAAGATCCTCACCATCTCCACTTTCCTCAGCTTCTGCTTCAACACCCGTCTGTACCTGCCTGAACATGTCGTGTTAGGACTCTGTGACAAAGGCAGAAACTTTAAGATAGCAGTGAGATAATTTTTGCTGCAGTAAGAGTGGCCTGCAGGCTGGGTACAGAGATGGTGATGGGAGAGCATCTGAAGATTACTTGAAGAATCTCATTCTGAAGCCCTACGGGCCACACACTTGCCTGGGTCTGACACAGTCACTGGTTCAGGTTCCTCCTCAAACCATCACAGAAACCGCAGCATTTCCCCTGGGTTTATTTCTGCATGCTTCAAATGAGTTGGATTTTCTCACCCAAGTATTGGCCCCAGGAAAGCTCCTGGACCATTTTCCTATTAGCCCTCCTTGCTAGTGTTTCGCTGAGGCAGTTTGTAGCTGCAGATGTTCCTGTGCTTTGGTTACCAAGGCTTAGGCTACAACTGTTGCAGAAATTCTTAATTCTAGCACAGTGGATCCCCATGAACATGGTAGATATGTTTGTTTATGTCTCACCTAGCATACCACAAGCTGAAACAGAACTCAAAGGGGCTAACACTGGGGAGGTTTGGATCATATACTGAAATAGGTTTAGCTGCTGTGCAAAGTATGTTTTTCATTGGTGGTGGTTTTAATAGCTTGCATTAGTTTACATGTACATTCTGGCATATACTGCTGTATATTAATATGGGTCTCCACATTTATATGATTAGCTGTATTCTTCTAGGTATAACTGTGTCCGTGTTGTTAAAGGTTGAAGGTTTATCTTTATACAGATTACCAGTATTGGGGTAGTGTTGTGTTTCTGGGGTGTGCTGAGGTGTGTATTGCTAAGTTGTGTGCTGGATGCATCCCTCCCTAGGGGTGTTTCTGTGGGGTGTTTTGAGGCATTCACTCTGCTCGTCACCATGGGGACAAGCGGGAGGGGGGCGGGGGGAAAGGAACACAATTTGTATTTCTTAGTATTGTGTGATTGTGCTCTCACAGTGCCTCAAAGTGAAGGTGCATGAGGAACTACATACCTCTGTCCTGCGTGTTCCTCTGTGACAATAATATGCACGCACACATGCACTTGCACATACAGGCACACACCCTCCAGGCTCCAGGGCGTGTAGGAGAGAGTGTGTGTGTGTCTGAATGCTATTTAAATAAAAAAGAAAGGAAGTGAATCAGGGTCGTTTCCATTTTAATTGTAAAACAGATAAGCACTAAACACTTTGAAAAAGTAAATGACTTGAGAATAATTACTATCTATTACTCTGCGTCCCAGGGGGGCAGTTGGAGGAGCCCAGATGGCTACAAAAATGGGATTTAGCAGAAAATTGAAGACATTATTCACCGTAACACATTATCAATTACCTTCATATCAATTACAATAACCTTACATTAGAAGAAGGGCCAGGAGACTATCTTCAGCCCCCAGCCTGAATAGTAATTGCACTACCCCTATGGATGGGGGGTGTGTGTGTGTGTGTGTGTGTGTGTGTGTGTGTGTGTGTGTGTGTTAGAGAGTGGGGGGCACCACAGGGTTGTGCAGGGGTTCTGGCAGCTCCCACTGCTGGGAGGAGGGGAGGAAGAGGGTGAAAGCTGCTCAGAGTAGTTTTTCCTTCCCTTCGTACAGTCACCTCATAGAGGGTTTTCTTCTGTTCTGTTTGTGTGGTCTAGTAGCTTGAAGGGCAGCTGATGTGGCTCCTTCCAAAAAATTCTGCTTGGCTTGCCATTTGGGATGTTCAGGGTCTCTGTGCAGACACTACTGTTTCGCACCAGTGTCCCCTACTTTCCTCTTCCCCCTCTCAGCCATTTCAGCCAAGCTGCTCAGTTTGTTAATAGGGGCTGGTGTGCAATCTGAGGTTCTTTTCTGTAGGATCTACCTTTCTTGGTGTAGCAATCTGTGCAGGAGGTGGAGGCCCTCTGCCAGACCCAGATGGGGCATCAGCTCATGTTTCCTGTAAACACTCACAGAGAGATCACGGAACCTTTGATGGCATACAGAGATGAACCAACCAAAAACAATTTAAAAAATCTCTCCTCTTCCTTTTCTCCAGAGATGGTGGAAGGTGTCTCAGGGAGAGCAGTACCAAGGCTGCTTCAACAGGCTGGTAGCACGAAGGTAACTCTAAGGACATCTTGTTGCCTGTGGCTGTGTCTTGTTGCCAGCTGGGATAGCCCTTGGAGCTGGTGGTATGTCAGTGCTTCTAACTGTAGCTGGCTAATGCTTCTGACTTGCCATAGTGCCATTTTGAAATTTTCCCTCCTGGATCTGGACTTGATCCAGCTCACCTGAGTATTTATACATGCAACATCCAGATCTAGCTGTCGTGGTCCCGTTCTCTGCTGCAATCCAAACAGGTTTCACTGCCATGGCATCCTGCCCTGTGCACAAATGTGTGTGTAAGATAAGGATTCGGACACATCAGGGCACTTATGAGTTAAACTGTTGGTGACACTCCCTCTAGTCTCCCCCCTTTCCCAAATATGCACTGGAGTGTCCAGTGGGTTAGTGCAGAGAGGACTAATTGCTATTAAAAGGCTTTAATCTGGGAGATTAGTGCTGGCTCCAGGCGGTGTTTGCACATGAAGGAGATGTTTCCGATGAGATGAACTAGAATTTGTCCCTGCTGTTTTGTTGATAGAAAATCATCTTCCCCTTGGTTTTTTCTCTTTATCTCTGTCTCTCTTGCTTTCTTGCTCTCTCTGATCATTTTCTTTTGCCTTTTCCTTGAAGTTGAGCTAAGAGCTCTTTTATATTTTGGAGTGGCAGTCCTCTTTGACCTTTGGGGTCAGTTGTTTTTGCACATTCGTACAGACATGCATGTGTGTACGCATAGATGTGACTGGAGTTTCCTGATTCAAAGTCCTGCAGGAAATAGATCCTGACCAATAGAAGTGATGATAAATATATTTTTCCCTTGCTTGCTGTTGAGCCTCTTGTGGGTCAGAGGGGCCTGCAGAACCCTTCCTATAACATGGGTCAGGCCAGTCCCCTTCTCCTGGGCAGAGACTTGATCCAGACACCATCAGGAAGAGGTGTTGCAGACTGAAAATCCTAAAGCTCCCTGCAGAAGTAATTAGTGGGAGGTAATTAAAAGATTATGTATGGGAAGGTATGGAGCATTACTGGACCTCTGGCATGACCCAGGAAATGTCAGTATTGACTTTGATGAACATTAGATCAAACTGAATGGAAATTATTCTGATAACATGCCAGATGTGTCCAGAGAGCCTGTCCATGAAGGAGACACATTTGACCTGGGAGCACAGAAATCTTTGTTCTATACTTGCTGGAGGATCCAAAAGCGGAGATGCTCGTTCTGAATTTACTGTTTTCAGAAATCCACGAGTGTCTGTCAGGTCTGACTATCTAGACAGGTAATCCCTGCTGTGCCTAGTGTCCAGTTGGAATTTTCACAGCACCCTTAGGAAGTTAAGTGCCAATTCCCGTTGAAAAGCACAAAGGAATAAATACTGTTTACATGTAACTTGAGTGGAAGGAACTGAAGACTTTGTATCCCAAAGAATATGTGAAAACTTTATCAGAAAAGGAGGACTTGGGTAGAACACAAGGTTGCATGGTCCTTCTGGCCTAGAGGGTTACCAGACAAAAGTTATGAAAGAGAAATGGTAAGAAAGAATGAGTGTCCTCAAATCAGTGAGGCCAAGAATCAAGGGGAGAGTTGGGCAGGGGGAAAAAATCGGTTCAGGATCTGGATCTCCCAGTCAAAGAGGTCAAGACTTTCTAAGGAAGAAGTGCTTTTTTGCAAAGTGTCACACATCATTCTTTTGTGCACTGTCTGAACACCATGGGCTTTGCTCTTTTGCAGGATGCTGCTGGAATCTTCCATCAGACTGCACTGTCATTATTTTTGCCATAAGTATGTATTTTGGGGAGGTGTAAATGAGGCACTGGGAGAAGAGAGGGGGAAATTAAGTCACCTTTGTATCCCTGGAGGCTGCTTGGCTCTCCAAAGGCAGTTGTAGAGCCTGTTGCTTGGCAAAGTGGTGTGGTGGTGTGTTGTTCTTTGTTTTTTTTAAAGCATCTGAATCAGATGTGAAATGTCACAGCACCGGTCCTTTTAGGACAACTTTGTAGTGGGCTGCAATTTTGTATAAAGGTAGTAATTTCTCACTCTCTTTCTCTCCATGCCCCTGCCTGAAAATCCAGACTCTTACTGTTAGCCAGCAGGAAGGCAGACCTACTGCTCATGTAAATTGCTCTAGTTCTGTTGTTTGCCCTTGTTCCCTCAAGTTTGCAGATATGCTGGTGTAACCAGCATAAGGATCTGGCCTCTAGCATGTGTTTGTCCCATCTGCTGTCCAGCATGTTAATTTTCATGGAAGACACAAACTTGCACGGACTGTGATTTTAAGGAGGGGCCCTTTTTCTTTTCAAGAGCCAACTGCAAAGCCTCAGGGGCCAGATTCTGAAAGACAGTCAATGCCAAGATCTGGAGGAGCTGGGAACTTGTGTCCTGGCAATTTCTGGCTTGTGGTCCTATACTGACAAGACCGTAAGGAAAGAATCATGTGTTAGGCATTTTTGTAAAAAC